CTGTTAATGGGCCCATCAATGCCCTGCCCCATGACTCATAGATAACTTCCCCCTGTATTGTCCCCTGTTAATGGGCCCACCACTGCCTTGCTGCATGACTCAGAGATAACTTCCTCCTGGACTGTTTTCTGTTAATGGCTCATCAAGGCCTTATCTCATGACTCACCATCCCATTGTGAGATGCTCCTCCCTGAGGGAGGAGCCAAGCATTCCATACTGGATATAAGCTGAGAATTCGAACACCACAGCAGCCCTTACCTACGGGACTTCCAGAGGACAGGAGCTACTGCTGGACTTTCAGCTGAAGACCAGACCCCCTTTCTTCCAGAGGATCACGCTTCAACAAGACCACCTCATCTGGACGACTACCATCACCCTAACAGGGTTCCAGGCTGTATTCTGACTCTGTCAGTGTTTTTGATATTATTGCATTTATTCTTTTTATCATTTTCCTATTAAATTATAATTCTGACTTGCGATCTCTCACTGGTTTGATTTCAAACTAGTACAGGTGGGTAGCTTTGGTTTTTCTTCTCATAGGAGTCCTAGACTGCCCGTCCTTAAAACCTGCCCCTGAGTGGTAACACCAGACCTCCCCCTTTAGTTCACAGAGATTATACTGAGTGCCGTTAGACAAACAAAGCCCCTTTTGTCGTTCTGGAGGACAGTCAATTATTCGTCCAGTATCTGTGGCAGTTCGACACTGCTCACACTTCCCCAGGAGACGCTCCCCCGGAGGTACCTCAGGACTCATTCCCCTGGCCAAGCACACAGCTAGACTCAGGATGATTAGGATTCCCCACCGCTGTATCCCTTTGCCTTGCCCTTCGCACGTATAAAAATATACGGCGGGGATTGCCATCTTCTTGGCAGCAAGGATAGTCTTCAGGGGCCCTTGTAGTCCTTATGGCATACCTTCTTTTAAAAGTTGCCCACCGGGACGACTTGATTGTGTCTGTCCTGCACGGTACCTTAACTGTCTTTCGGCACTCAATTTCTAAAGCTTCTGCCTTGGAGTCTAGTTTACCTCTTATCCCCTTTTGAAAAAGCAGATACCACTCAGAAGAGTCAAGTTCTAAGCACCCCGCCCGGGCAGCAAGTATTAAGAGACGGCTAGTCTCCTCCTGTTCTTTTTCTAGACACTTGGTACACGATCCCTTAGGCTTGTACCCTCCCCAACAGTGGGTTACCCAAATCTGTTTACAATAAGCGCAATTAAAATGTATAAACGGAAAACAATCACATTCAGGCATCTTCTCTTGGTCTGGAAACTCTGTAATTTATCTCACTGAGCGGATCTCCCTCTTCTGTATAGGGTAAGGAAGTGGTCACTTGCTGTCTCGTATTAAATTATGCTAGGGGTGCAGTATAAGAATTCACCACAGGCGGCGCTCTAGTAAACGGCTGAACTTCCTGTCGATCATGAAGTGGTGCTGGTGGAGTAGCATAAACATTAATTGCAAAGGTTGGGTTACTATTTGAAGCTATAAGAAAGTCCCTCAAACAATGCTTCAACTGGGAAAAAAAATTCCAGAAAAGTTCCTTTGGAACTGTAGGCATTGGAGCTGAAAGAGATAAAAGAGTTAGCTGGCTGCTTTATGGGTGAAGGGGTAAACCAGGTGCTTGGAGCAGCTGTGCCAGATGCTGTGACTTGAGAAGACAAAGGTGTCTTCATAGGAACACCTTGACCAGCTGAGACTTCTTTAATATCTCCAGCTTTTGTACCTTTAAATGAAAAGCTCAAATTATCTATTTGTGAGCTTTTTCGTTCTTGTTCCTTAATTTCTGCCTTTTGGCTACTTTGTCGAAACCATTCCAGAGATGCTGGACTTTGTATTGATGCATCCTGTAACCCCGAGTCCATGTGTGTGAGAGGATTTGCAGGCTGAAAGAACTGTGCATTAGCACAGCCGTAGTCAAAAGCCTTTTGGCTTTGTATGGTATTCGGCGAAGCCACCTGCTGTGGTAGAGTTGTTGTTTTTTCAAGCCGTTGTTGCTCTGCTACTGATAGTAAAAGGCCTTAAAATCTTAGAAAATTCGGGGACTTAGAAAGAAAGTTAGGTTTGGAAACCCCTGGGAAACGCGGTCCCTGGAAATGTTAGGCTTTGTGCTTGCTAAAGACCAGGTCAAGCTGCACCTGTGTATTCAGTATATGATAAATGATACAATTGTTAGATGTGATTAGATATAATTATTGTTTAGAGAACATGGGGAACCATGTTAGGGGGCTAAGGGGGGACCACGAGAAATTCATGCTTGGGTAAAAACAATGCATACAATAGAACAATGTAAGTTTAATAATTAATATGTAAGTTGCATAACGATAGAGTATAAAATATGTTCAACTCGAAAACCCAAATCGGGTCAGATTTGGGTATGTGTACCCCTGACACCCAGAGCTCTTTAAATAAAGCACCTTCATATAACCATTCGTGGTTATGTGTGTTCCTGAACGCTAACACTACAACTGCATTGCAAAGCGAATTCAACTTTAAAACTGCCGCCGTTGCTTGCTGGCATTGCAATTCACCCGCCGCCGCTGCTTCCTTTAGCATCAGTTGCCATGGTGACAGGGCTGCAGCGGTTGGCGCACGTCGCGGCTCCGCTTGTGCGCATGCCTGCCCCCCCCGCGCCGGGCTGGCCACAGAGGGACGGGGCCACGCCTCCCTCTGACGTGTGGGCGGTTCCATGACGTCAGTGGGCGGTGCAGAGGCGCTGCGGAGGCCGCAGGGAACGCCCCCGATGAGGGCTGGCTTGGGGGCGGTGACGCGAGGGGATATCGAGCGCCGGATGTGCTTGCGTCACTGCTGACGTCACATTGACTGGCAGCTGTGGCTCAAAGCACACCCCTGGTAGGCGGGGCGCAGGGGCCGCCGTGCCCATGGAGGTCCCGAGCTGCTCTGGGTCGGGCCGAACCCTCGCGTACCCTCCCAGGGGGGACAGGGCTGTCCCCTCCACCCCCCTAGGGCCGGAAAGGGGCTCGGCTGCCGGCACGCAGGCGGCCGAGGAAGTTTCCCCTCCCTCTTCTGCCTGCAACAGCGTACCGGACGCTGGAACAGCTCCAAAAGAACCCAGACACTCTGGCAAAAGTTCCGAGCCGCCGGAACCGCCTTTTTGCAGATTCTGCTCGCGTGTTAGAATCGCCCCCTCTTCTTCAAACGACTGTTCCTCTGGGTTTTCAACAGGATTAAACATTCCCTTTGCTAAAAGGGCATTCAGGGAGGCTCTCACAGCCTGAGCAGACTGCAAGAATTCCAAGAATTCTGCAGCTGACTGAGACAAGTCCGCCTGTTCTTTATCTGAACCCATATTCTCTATTTCTAACCCCGTCTCCTGCTTTTGCAGTTGTTCATAAAAGACATCGCATCTTGTATGGCTTTCACTGCTGTAATTTCCTCCTTTGAAAGGATTTCCAACACTGTGGGTGTTGTCTTGTGAGCCAAAGGTGTCCCGATCCCCATGGAATTACTGAGGGCAGAAGCAGACCCAGCCTTTTCCGGCATATCCACCAGGGTCTCCCTTCCTGTATCTGGACCCATCATGTCCCTTGCCTGGGTTTCAGGGTCCCATTTACTGATGATTACGTCATAAATCACTTTAGAAGCCGTTAGAAGTTTAGTCGCTGCCTGGTCTCTATGAGTGGCCTTTTCATATACTGTCCTGTTTATGTTATCCCACAGGCCTGGGGTAAAAATTTTCTGTGAATCCACGTTAGGGAATTCTGCCCGTATCCAGGATAGAAGGCTTTTAAGCTAATCCGCGGATACAGAGATCGGGTGCACCATAGCTTCCAAGATAGCCAAAACCTCCCTCTCAGCTCTGGACATACAATTTCCCATATTTTTGCTCCCTTTTGACGGCTTACCTGACCTCAGGGTCAGCTTTCTCTCAGCTCCTCTATCCGTGATCCGTTCCACAGCTCACAGACGTCTGGCTTGGCTTGTCCGCTCTCACCAGCACCAGGATTACCGAGATCTTCTTTTTCCCCTTTCCAGGGAGTTTTCCAGCTTTCCGCTGTCTTTTTCTCTCTCTTTTTTTTTTTTTTTTTTTTTTTTTTTTTTTTTTTTTTTTTTTTTTTTTTTTTTTTTTTTTTTTTTTTTTTTTTTTTTTTTTTCTCAACAGGAGCCTTCCGTTCAAAGTGCCACAAGTTTGGGCGACATTTGTCTCGTTAGGGACTTTCAGATTAGGTTCTTTTTCCCTTTGAACTGAAGATTGACAAGAGGGAGGTAGTTTTCTCTTGTTCGGTCTCAGTTTATTTTTTTCTTATCAGCATTACAAGGTACAAGGAGCTATGTGCACTAAGATAGAAAAGGCGTAAAATGGCTAACAAAGATCCTCTTCAAGGTCTTTTATATGTCCATTAACAGATGCCAACTAAATTATTTTTCTTAGTGACCCAATGACCCAACACTTGTGTGCTGCACTGTGGCATTTTTTACCCAATCACTTACTACTACCCAGAAACCCCTAGGAGAAGAACATGAAGAAGAAAGAAGAAGGACAAGAAACAACACCCTAAATCCTCCATCTTGTCTTTTGCTCTCTAAACTACCTTAAACTCTAAACTTCAACCCATTCACCCAGTGACTCAAGAAACTTTCTAATTCACACACATTTTCAGTCTTTTCTACTGAACTCTAACCGTTGTCTCCATGGTGCTATGTGAAACTCAGTGCTTTCTTGGGTGTCAGAGTTAGGCATTACAAATAAAGGTATATATCTTGCATCTCTGACCCCAACACAATAAAGGGGTTTTACCCTTCTAATTCTCTCCCTGATCATGGGGAGTGGGGTAGTGAATGAGATGTGGCTCGGGGCTTGGCTGCTCAACTGGGGTTAAACCTTTACAGTGATGTAAGTCCTGCAGGGTGTGAGGTTTAACTTTATATTTGTAAAGCAGAGGGTAAGGGTGGATTTCCTTTCCTGTGCTATGTACCTCTGCCAAGTGAAGCTTCCCAGAATGGATGCTGGACTATTTGAGGAGCATAAATTCAGTACAGTTTAGGCAGCAAACGTAATTTATAAACCAAACTCCTTTGGAAACCAAATTTTCTCCCAGTCCCGAAATTTCCTATAACATTATGTGAATGCGTATGCTGTTCAGAGCGTACATATCACTTAACAGAAACCCAGCCTCATTAAGTTAAAAACCTGATACAGCCACACTGATGTGTCACCCCAGATGCTGGGAAAACAGCAGTCACATCAGGATGATGCCATACAAAGGCTATTTACTCTTTTTTTACACCTTAGCTCTGAAGAGAGGCACTGTGCATGCGTTGGGAGTCCCAATGTTGTTCTGAACATGGGCTTGTTACCCAGTGTGAAATTTGCAATTAGGTGAGACATTTCTATCCTTGTATTTCTATTTCTTTATTCTTGTTTCTGCTGAGTAGGGAGCTGGGTGTTAACTCACAAAAGGCTGGCCTCACGATAATCAGAGCTTTACACTACATGATTTAACAAACAAAGGCATCAACCTTGATCAGTTGCTGTCGCTCCGATTGGGAACGGCTTGAAGGAACGACCATGGACTCTCAAGGGAGTCACGACAGGAGAATTCCTAGTTTATTGCTTCAGCCCTGTCTTATAGACAGATACGTGGAAAAGTACAGAAAGGAAACTCTTATTGGTTAACAAAGTACTACACCACCATCATTGGTCAGGGGCACTCTGCCCCCCTTGACTGTCTCTTGCAAGGAGAAACAACAGGTTGCAAAACAACACCTGCAAGGCTGTTTTAGTATCTCTGAGAATTGTTTTAATTCCTTCTCATGAATTTCCCAGGCTAGGCTTCAGTCAGGCCTGAGAGCTATGTGGCTTGCAATAACTACAGGCACTCTGGCTCAGATTTAGCATCCATAACTCACCTTTTTCGCTTAGGAAAAAAAAAATAAAAATGTACTGTGTTTGTAATTTTCTGTTGGGCCCTTCAGAAAAGGAACAAACACGGCACAAGAGGTTTCTTTTACTAGAAATTGGAATGGATGCTGATTTAGAATTAATTTAGAATTTTGGTTTATGTTTTGGTATTTAGGATTTGTTCTCCTTGCAAGGATTTGATGGTTGAGTCTAATATTTCTAATTCAGTGAATTAATACACACACTATACAAAACTATATACAACATTGTTAGTCTGTTCGAATTGACAGTCTAACATGTCAATAGAGTAGTTTGAAAGAATACCAAAGTGATAAAAACAATGCACAATGCAATTTATATGCAATTTGATCCCCTCTTCTTATCCCGCTTTTTTTTTTTTNCCGGACACGCGTGCTGGCTGTGGGCCCTGCTCGGAGACTGGGGCCGGGTGTGAGGAGGCGTCTCCATCGCGAGGTGGGGTGCGGGCCGTGCGCTGTCCGCTTTACTGCGCGGGTGAGAGCTGTGGATGTGAGCACTTCAGGAGGGCTGGGCTTTAGCTGCCTCATGTCCCTTTAAATAGAGACGAAAACGGCCCTAATTTTCTGTTCTTCCTGTTGGGAAGTCCCGTGCAGAATGCTCTTATGGTAGCCATGTGCCCACAACCATGCCTAACTTACAAGTAGCCTGGAAAGCTCTCTTAAGCTTGTTTGACTTTTTTATTGTCTGCAGCTTTGTGTCACACTTTTAAGGTATACTTCCACCAAAAATAAGGAGTTTTGTTCTCCTTAACACATGGAGGCAGCATTTCTTTCTCCATTAGTGCCGACTGACTGGCAAAGTGGGCTCTAACGAGGCATTCCAGTCGTGGCTGGATGCAGACAAAGAGTATCTGCGTTCTCTTGCGCAGTGGATGTGCATGGCCACAGTGTAACTGCTCTGGCAGCTTCGTGGATACACAGCATATAAAATAGTGCATGTTAGTGTTTTAAGTCTGAACTGGAAATACAGCCAGCCTTTCTAGGTGAAGGCGCATGCTTCTGGCTCGTTCATATGAATGTCTGACCATATTGTGAAAAAAAGCACTGCACAGAAAAAAGGGAGGAAAGGGTAGGTTGAGATCCTGGTGAGTTATTATAAGAGTGTGTTTGCAAATCTGTTTTCTCTTACCTCATTTGAGACTTAGATTTATTGATTGTGGTTTTGCTCCTGCAGGAGAAACCTTTGTCCAATTACGTGTTTAAAGTCTCTGCAGCATCAAGATGTTTGAAGTTTTTGTTTGTTTTTTCCTTTGTTCTTGCAGGTAGCCCTACTGTATCTGGTATGTCAGATATGGATTATCCTTTACAAGGACCAGGTTTGCTGTCAATACCCAATCTTCCAGAAATCAGCTCAGTCCGCCGAGTCCCACTTCCACCAGAGCTAGTGGAGCAGTTTGGACGTATCCTTATGTAAACAAATGTCTTAGATTGTGTAAGAGGTAATATTGGAAATGTCTTTCTGCCATATTTTTCTTCTCCAAACTTTTTGTCAGATTCCCAGCAAAAAACTTGAATGTTGTTCAGGTTCTCTTAGTAATACTCAAAGTCATTACAAGGTACATTTGTGTAGAGTTGTTGGTGGAATTGGTCTCTAAATGAAGAATTTTGAAGTATCCAGATTGTGTAGTACTGTTAATGATTTTTTTTAAATTATTTTTTAAAAAAGAGGATTTTGCCATTGCTACCCAAAGTGCATTTAATCCTTACATCAGCAGTGCTTCAGATATGCAGTGCAATTGTATGATGGGAGTGTTTCCAGAGATCAGCAGAGCTTGGCTGACCATTGACAGTGACATCTTTATGTGGAACTATGAAGATGGGTACGTAGAGGATGTTGTTCTATGATATTTTTCTATTGGTATTATACCAGAAATAAGCAGTTGCAGTAGTGGGAGATTGTTTACTGGAAGCATGGAAGCATGCTGTTCAGTTTAAGTGATCTTAATTCCATTTAGGTTTTACTAAGCTCTTGAATAGTAGGTATTTAAGGATCCATAAGAGTTAGTAGTATTGCTGCCAAGTCATTATGGGTGAGAGAAAACTAAATGTATTTGCTTTGGGTCAGACATATCTAATATTCTAAAGTTACTGCACTTCTTATACAAAGGCTTTGCTTGTGCTGAAAAAGTAGATAAAAATTCCTCTATTGCCTAACTTTTATAAGTAGATTTAGTAAGTACTGAGATGCATGTGCAGTGGGTAATGCAGCACAATGGTAAGGGAATAGGGCATTAGCATTTTAAGAAGTATTGTAATTAAAGCTCTCCATCCTTGCTTATTTTAAGAAAGTAAGTTGCTTATTAATGAAAAGTTCTTACATTTTGAAATTGCATTGATAAGTTTATAGTTTGCTCATTTGCTTCTTTATTTGCTCACACAGTATGCATTTTTGTAGTATTGCTTTGTACGTATTGCTGCATTTCCTGAAAAAAACAAAGTTCAGATTAGCTACTATCTATATATTTACATTGTGTCAGAGTGTATGAAATACCTTCCCCACAGAAGACAGCACTGTTAGTGTTAGTGATAGATAGTGGGGAAGAAGTTGGGAATTTTTGCATAATTTTCATGGTGGAAAAAAATCCCGTGTGATTTTCTTCTCTTGATGTTAATCAATACTGCAGATGCAGCATTATATAATTCAGAGTAGACTGTATGAAAATCCAAAATATAAAATACTGCAGTTGGGTTTCAGGTTTGAAACTCAACTATAGGAACTTCAACTTAAATGGCCTGCTTTCACTGAAAGCTTCAGAGTGTTGCAAAAGCATTAGTAATTTTTAAATACACATTATTTTATTTACTTTGTTATTATGTAATTCTATACGACAAATTTCATGCAGTTTTTTATTTATTGACAGAGGAGATCTGGCTTATTTTGATGGTCTGAGTGAAACCATTCTTGCAGTGGGCCTTGTAAAGCCAAAGGCAGGTAAGGAATATTATGACAGAGATTAGAATTGGACAGTACTGAACCTTCTGTGTATTTGTTTTGTTTTATATATATATCTATATATATTTGTGTTTTATACAAATGATACAGTATGAAGTAATATAAAAACCAAATTACGTTTTGGGGTTTTATATATGTGTAGATATTAACATGCATATGAATTTAATGCATGGATGTGGCACTTGCTGCTACAGTTTAGTTGACATGGTGGTATTCAGTCTCATGATTGGATTCAGTGGTCCTGGAGGTTTTTTCTAGACTCAATGATTCTACGATACATGAAAACCTGTAGTTGTATATATGTATATATGTACAAATAACAGAATGTATGGGTTTGTTTTGCTTCTAGGAACATTATAAAATGAATTATGAGCCAAGAATAATGTGTAGTTTAACAATTATTTACACTGATAAGCTTGCATTTTTTGCCACATCATGTTTTAACATTTATACTGTTGATAAATTTAAATATTTAAGTGATAATTTCCATGAGATTCTGGTTTCTAGATAATAATCTCACAATTATTTCAGTATCTACTGCTAAGATAACAGTAAAGTCAAAGTTGAATTGGCAAGTGAGTTGAGTTTAAAAGAAGCATGTTGGTAAGAGAAATGTCATTTTAAAGATGCTGTATTTTATGAAGTGGAAGTCAGCCTGCTGGTTGATACTCCTTTCTAATTCAAGAATTCTGCAGATCATTAGGCTTAATGTATAACTGTTCTATCTAATCAGCTGATGTGGCTTTCCAGTGGACTTATTTGCTTACATCATTGTGATCAAAGAAGCAGGCTGCTTCTAAACTAAAATGTTCTTCTTTTTGTTTAGGTATCTTTCAGCCTCATGTACGACACTTACTTGTCCTTGCTACTCCTGTGGATATTGTGATTTTAGGGCTTCATTGTTCTAATATACAGTCAGGTAATTCTCTCTTCTCCCCTTATTTCCAGTTGTGTGTTAACACATGGCAGTGTGTTAATTCCCATGTGTATTTACACATGGCAGTTTTATTAGTAGTCATTCAAAAATTTTTGAAAAAACCCATGTGACAAGTGCCTTGCTAGTTTTTAAATCTTCATATCATGTTACAAACAGGGAAGATAATTTTTATGGTGGGTGCACTTGCTGGATCATGGACTCCATGAGAAGCATTGAGTTTTATTACTCGCCTATTTAATGTAAAAAGAGCTTTCGGAACAAGTGCTCTTATTAATTAAACAGCATGTTGAAGAGGGAGAGAAGACAGGAACATGAGTCTTGAAACTGGTGAATAGAATTCATTAACTTTGTTGGCATTGGTATGCCAACCATAAAAACTGAGAACCTGATAACATGTTTTTATGCCATATATACTAAGAGGAAAAACTTTGGTGAAAGTAAGAGAACATACATCTTGCTTTTTTTTTTTTAATAATATGTTGATGTAAAGGAGAAAACAAGTTGAAACTTGTGTTTTGGTATGATTTAGAGGAGAGAACAGTCTATAGAAATGAAAAACATAACATTTCCTGCCTTGAAAACTTACATGGAATGGATTTGTTACTCTGCGGTTCACACTGGACAAAAGCTGTTCGTGAATATATTCACTAACTATGAAACTTACTGTAATTTTTTTCTGGTGTCTGAAATGTTTCACAGACATGTAGTATTTATTAAAACAGCTTAAAAATGAAAGAGGATGTTTGTTTGCTTGTTTACTGAAGGTACTGGATCGCTCAATGACAGCATATCTGGAGGAATGCAGCTGCTACCAGATCCCCTGTATTCTCTCCCTACTGACAACACCTACATCCTGGCAATAACAGCAGTAATAGTTCTAAAACTTGTCAAGTTTGCAATCTCTTTCCTTCTATAATTGTGTTGCATGTCTTGGTTGCACAACTTAGAGTAGATGCATTTTTTGAAGAGGAAATATTTATGTGGGATATAGCAGTGCACAGTCAGTTTTGATCAAGTTTAAAAATTCAAATTGCGACATCTGCGCACAGTTTTTATGCAGAATTTTTCTTTTAATGATTTTTTTTCAAATGAATAATACATACGTGTTCAATTAAATCTATAGTTTGCTGTTAGATCTTTACTTGTTTTCATACTCGTCCTTTGAATGACTTATTTAACATTGCTCCTAGTTCAATTTTTGTTTTGCTTTTTCTTTCAATGCTGTATTTGTTTTAAATTGTAGGCTGAAGCAGGCTGGTTTAGCCAGCGCTGTAGAAAAATTAATCATTCAAAGAGTGCACTGTCTTTTCTTATTCCTTCGTTGCTACAGTTCACATTCTCAGAGGATGGTAAGTACTGATGTTAATGTTCTTATTAGCCAATAATTTAATGTAACCTTTTAAAATAATATTACCAAGAAGTCAGTCTGAATATATTGCTTACTCAGAGCATTTAGTTACTGTCAGTGACACTTGCAGTGGTTTATCATTATAAAAGAATTGCACAAATCAAGACAGATTGCATGTTTAGTTCAGGATACAGATTGCAAAGGCTGAGAAAGTGACATTTCTGACTAAAGTTAGTGATCCGTACCACAAAATTAATACGCACTTAGTGGTATCACCATAAACGTGAAAAATGTGTAAGTGAATAATCTTGCCCTCTTTCATTGCTTAGTGAAAAGTTATTTTGAAATTACAGTTTTTTGCTCTGGGATTTTTTTTGTTGTTTGTTTACTAGCAGTTGTATTAGTTGATTGCTGTTATAAATCACTTAGAGCAGCAGTCCTATATGAAAGTGCAGTTTTTGTGAACTTGCAATTCATTATTTTGTAGAGATTATGTCTTAAACTTGCTTTCCAAAGTCCAGTGTTGATCTGGTTCTCCATTTTTTCCTCCCTCTCCAGATCCTGTAGTGCAAATTGCCATTGATAACTCTCGAAATATCTTGTACACCCGCTCAGAAAAAGGAGTCCTGCAAGTATGTGACTTCTTATGACTCTTTGGTCTGTTACAAATGTGTGCAATAATGTACAGGTACCTTTGTAAGTTTACCTCAATACCCGAGAATCCTCTGTAGCTGTGTCAGGCCCTTCTGTTTATCTTTCTGTAGCAATGTGTGTGCTGAAGACTTCAATTACTTCTTTTCTGAGGAAAGAGTAGCCTCAATTCTATGGAAGCATGAGTACAAAATAAAAATACAGCTTGAGTTACTTCTTGATATGTGAGAGTGAATTTATTAATTTATAAATCACTAAGCTGTGTTATTGAATTGCAGGTTTATGATTTGGGACAAGATGGTCAAGGAATGACCAGGGTTACTTCTCTTTCACAAAATGCTATAGTTTCTGCTGCAGGGAGCATTGCTAGGTATGTTGGTGACATTTACAATGCAAGAGTCTTCCTTTAAGACCCACAGTTTCACAGTACAATTTTGAAGCATTTAGATCAAAAGTGTATTGGATTTTTTTTTGTTTTGTTTGTTTTTTAGAACAATTGATCGTTCTGTATTTAAGCCTATTATTCAAATAGCAGTGATTGAAAATTCTGAATCCATAGACTGTCAGCTACTAGCAATCACACATGCAGGTAAAAAAGTATGCTAATTCCACTCTACTTAAACTGATAAATGGTATCTGCAAAGTTTTGACCCTTTTTATCTTTTGTTCAGGTGTCCGACTATATTTTAGTACGTCACAATTTAAACATCCAACAGCTCGTCCTTCCATGTTAACCTTGGTCCATGTCCGATTGCCACCTGGGTTTTCAGCTTCTTCAAATGTAGAGAAGCCTGCAAAGGTTCACAGAGCCCTTTATAGCAAAGGTGAGCAGTGGAATATGGCTCAGATGAGTTTGTTTTGTGTGTGACAGTCACCATTACTTTTATCCCTACAAACATCTGTTCTACGTTTTAGGTCGCAAATGGTGTTAAAAGTGACTTTTTGGCATACCATATGACATACAAATCCAGGAGATACTGTTTCCTGTTCAGCTTGTATGATAATAACTTAAAGATTGAGTTTTATAATTTAGGAATGAATTAATGAGTTTGCATTTAACGCACAATGATTGCTTCTAATATGGACTTATTATTGCTATTCTTGCTAGGGGTCCTGCTGATGGCAGCTTCAGAAAATGAAGATAATGACATCCTGTGGTGTGTCAATCATGATTCTTTCCCTTTTCAAAAGCCAATGATGGAAACACAGGTATAAAGCAAACTTCTGTATGATTTGATGATATCTAGATATTACGTTTTCTTTTCTAATAACAGATGCCTGAATGTTACTGTCTGCAAGAAATAAATAGGTCACAGAAAACTTCATGAGGAGTTTGGTTACTTTCACAAAGCTGAGTGAGTCTATCTTAGTAGGGATCCTTAGTTCAAACATAGATTTCTAGGTTGATGCGAGCTATACGTCAAAAGCAATTGCTTTAACTTTTAAAACTTGACTTCTAATTAATATATTTGAGAATTCTGTTGTCTGTAGCAATGCTGCATATTGTGCACAAGCACAGAAAAGCATGGCCCTCAGTCCCTAACAGTGAGGATCAGTATAAAATTTTATAAAGGTTGTAGATAAATGTAGATGATAGAAACTTTGGGATTCCTTATTTAAACTTACATACCATATCTTCATTCAAATCTGCACATAATGTATTCATTATTTCATGTGTTGGGGTGCGGTTTCTGACTTTCATTTTCCTGACTGTTATGTAATTTGGTTTGTAAGAGAAGTTTGGAGGGGGCTAATTGTCTTATGTGCCAGTTCACGGAAAGCATATTTAATCTCTGAAGGACATTTCAAGTCTTCAGTGTTAGAGGTGTGACATGTCAAAAACAGCTTTACTGAAGAAATAGCAGAGTTGGGAGTGAATGGAGGGAATATGTATGTTTAAAAACTTCATAGTCAGGTTTTGAGTAATCTGCTGTTTTAATTAATAACTTACAAAGGAACTTCATCGTTGTTTCAGATCCCTTCCCTGCGAAAACTTAGAGATAAATATCCCAAGTGCCAACCTCTTTTTTCCCAAGGCATCAGACAGCAACAGGCAGCTAAGTTTCCCAAACAAAACTGCAGCCTATTCTTGAGCAGCAGTTCTTCCTGGTTAGCATACATAGTCGTATGGAATGTCTTCACTAATATCATCTCTTCTTGACTTGTATTTGAAGTACTGTTGCCAGCTGAAAAAGTCTTGTAAACCTTTGTAATTCAGTTGAAGCTTTTTTTAATTTATTTTTTTAAGAAGTCTTTTAAAGTCATGATGCTTATGGTGCTTAGTTCTGATGTGGTTAGTAGATAGATGGCTGCTGTTTATATTGTAGCAGCTTTACTTTGCAAATTGTTTTACATTTAAATGTAAAACACTATCCCTGTCTCTCAAGCAATGTATTATTCCCTTACTATTATTATTCCCTCCTAAAAGCAGCAGTGTATATATAACAGTAAATGTGATGGTAACTTTCTCTTAGACAGTACAAAAGCTTATTTTCTTTGGGTTTTCTTGTGTGAGGAGCAGATTGTATTCTGTGTAATTTTAAATGGTAAATAGTAAAATATTACTATGGATGTACAAAACCCATGTCTGCTACCAAACTTTGGATAATACCTATCTGTTGTTCAGATGACAACCCGTGTTGATGGACATTCCTGGGCTCTTTCTGCTATTGATGAATTTAAAGTTCAGAAGATTGTGACACCACTAAATAAAGATATTATTCCCATAACTGATTCACCTGTGGTTGTACAGCAACACATGCTGCCACCAAAGAGGTTTGTCCTGCTTTCAGCCCAAGTGAGTATTACTTTTCTTGATATAGGTTACCGGAACAATTAAATATGAAATTAGACTTGTCATCTAAGCCTGTACATAACTAATTTGAGATATGTTTTAAGGATTATATTATGAACAAGAAAAGCAATCAGGAAGAAGATTACTGGAACTATCTGCACCTATTTTAAATCTACTCACATGTTTTAGATCAACTTCTTTTATATAGTGTAATGATAGCTTTTGTTACTCTCCAGAAACCCTTGCAGATACAAATTTGGGAAGTTCTTTTAGCCTTGATTATGTGAAATTGAAACAAGTCACTGTCTGCCCAGAAAATATAGTTCAAGTAAATATTGTTGGTAATTGAAATTTGAGTTAATAATTTCTTATTTGTCATAGAAAAGTCCCAAAAAGGTTTTTTTTGAGAGGGTTTTAGAAAACAAACCCACAAAAAGAAATAAGTGAAATTTCCTACTTTTCTGATTACATTTAGCAATATTTTTGCAGCTCAATATCGTAACCAATATCTTTGACTATTTATAATAATGTTTAAATATTAATGTCGTGCAAACTCTAGACCTGCAAGCAGGTCTAATAGCAGCTGTTTTGTTAAGGGCATTAATTGGGCCCTTTCCAGTATGTAGTTGGAAATGCAGGGAAGGTGATTAATGTGAAGTCTTACCAGGCCTTGAATTCTTCAAGTATTTTTCTTCCAGGCAGTTTTCAGGATCTGCAAGATGAATGAAGCCTTTATTATCTGCATATACTTGCATATGCTTGTATTCTGTGCTTTGTGTTAGGCTAAGAATAACAATATTAACTCAGTTTATGGAGAGTTTATAGCCATTGCAATACTAGCCTGCCTTTCCTTGATTCACTAGTGATATTAAGAATTGGGCTTTGGGCACCAGGTACGTTTTGATCCAGTGGTGCAGTGGAGGAAAACTCAGAAAGCCAAAGATTAACATCATGGAAATGGGTGTGTAATGATGAAACAGAGTAAAGACAAGTTTAGTCTCACTTGCTTTACCTTACTTTTAGGGAAGCTTTATGTTTCATAAACTCAGACCTGTTGATCAGCTGCGGCATCTTCTTGTGAGCAATACAGGTGGAGATGGAGAAGAGATTGAGAGATTTTTCAAGCTGCATCAGGTAAGAACTTTTGATATGTTATGAAAAATGGAAGACTTGTCATCCTTTTGTTGTTGCTGCAACCTTCTGGTCAATGTTCCATTTACCAGTTAAAGTAGCTGGTAAATTTTTCTTTTTTTTTTGTCTACATAAAACTATATTGTATAGAGAAATAATTTCTCATTTTATGAGAAATCTAAAATAAAATGTGTAATTCACTTTCTCTGAAATTCCTGTCTTGCATGCAGAAGTGTAGTGCTCTTCCTGGTTTAGGAAGAAGTTCATCTGAGAGCAGGAGAGGAAGAGTTTCTAAAAAAGTTGAATTCCTATGAAAAAACATCCAAAGGGATTTTTATATTTTGAAGGCCAGTAGAAATGTGTTGGTCTGGGTATTCTTTTTTATTAGCAGCTTAAGGTAAACAAGAAACAAGCAGAAGTTAGGTTATTGTGGATTACAATTTTAACATGACTGGTGTTGTGTAGTATCTGTAGTAAGTGTTCATTGTAATCTGTTCTCATGTCCTTGGAGGGGACATGTCTGGTATTGTAACAGCTTATTAGAATATGCAAACACTGACTTTTACAAGTATTTTTTCTTCAAACACTATTGTAATTTATGTTTTTGTCTTTGTAGAAATTGCATAAGTCTTAGCCATACTTAAATGTTAAGCATAGAGATTGTTCCCTACCAGTAGTATTACTGAGTTTGCAAAAAATTTATAGCAAAAAACTTAAACCTCATATAGTGGAATAACTTGCTAGGATACACTTCTTGTCTATAATTAGGAAGAGCTTATTTCCCTGGCTTCTAAATAAAATTATGCAGAAAGTATTTGCTGTTTTAGTTATCAAGGAATATAGCTTCTATACATTTCTTATCAATTTAATGTAAGACACCATGCTAACATTGTAATATACTCTAGGAGGATCAGGCCTGTGCCACTTGCCTTATTTTGGCCTGCTCTAGTGCTGCATGTGATAGAGAAGTATCTGCCTGGGCTACTCGGGCATTCTTCAGGTAAGTTTTAATTCTGTCTGTCATTCTGAATATTATACTCAGGATCATTGTGGTCACTAAACACTTGTACAGGCTTTTTAACCTGCTGCCAGTTCAGGTCCTGGTGACTTTTGTTTATTGGTGTTGATGTTTTTGGTGGTAGTGGTGGTGGTTTTGGTTGGTTGCTGCAGCTATGGTTGTTGTTGTTTAGTTCAGTTTGTTTTTTACAGTACAATTTGAGTGATGAAGTGTTAACTTCCACTCTTGAGGATTAAAGTCTAACCCAGGAAACAAATTTGAGCAGCCCCTCCCCCAACTGGTTATGTTTATTTAACAGAAATTGAATAATATTAAAAAATAAAACTTTTTGCTGTTCAATGAGATGGCAAATCTAGAAAAAGTCCTTTTCATGGGGTGTAACTCGGCTTGCTCAGGTTCTTATCAGTCCCTCTGGCGTTGGAAAGTGCTGAAGCCCAGGCCCCAGTGGGCCACAGGCATGAGCTCCTGGGGTTTGGTTGGGTTTTTAGTCCAGAGTAGGTTTGAACAGATCCAATAAAAAGAAAAAACAGTTTAGGGAACTTCTCTGCCTCAGCTAGCTAAAAACTAACTAAAAGCAAAGGAGAGCTCTGTCCCGCCGTCTGTCTGTGGTGCAGACAGCAGAGTCCAGGAGCAGGGGGCAGTGAGTGCTCTTTCTGAACACAGACTGCACTTCTTTCCCCCTTTCGCTCTCAGAGCCTGTCTTAAAGGTGCAGAACTTAATATGTAACATAAACAAGGCAATTTGGGATACAAACATCATAAAAATCACCCCAGGACACCCATATATCGCTGCATATCCTTGGTATGGTGCAAATATGTGTATTTTCATTAGCTGCCTTAAATAAGTTGGTGTATACATAAAGTCACAAAATTGTTTGGGTTGGAAGGGACCTTAAAGATCATCTAGTTGTAACCCTTCTGCCTTGGGCAGGAATACTACCCACTTGATAATGTTGCTTAAGGCCCCATCTATCCTGGCTTTGAATACTTTAATAAATTGAATATTCTTACTGTCTTTAGCCAACCTCTTCCAGTGCCTCACCTACCTCACAGTAAAGAATTTTTTCCTAATACCTAACCTAAATCTCTCTGATCTTTTAATTTAAAACCATTCTCTGTCCTGTCGATATCTGCTCTTGTAAAAAGTTGTTCTCCCTTGATTTTTATAAGACACCCTTTAAGTCCTGGAAGGTGCTATAAAGTCTCCCCAGAGTCTTCTCATCTCCCAGCTGAACAACCCCAGCTCTCACTCTGTCTTGGCAGCAAAGCTGCTCCAGCACCCTGATTGTCTTCATGGCTTCATGTGGACCTGCTCCAGTGGGTCCAAAGTCTTTCTTGAAGTGAGGACCCCAGAGCTGGATGCAGTGGGGGTGTGTACTGAGGCATCACAAAGATGGGGTGGAAGGGGAGAATCACCTGACCACTCCTCTGTTGATGCAGCTTAGAATAGTGTTGACTTTTAGGGCAGACTGTTGGTTTATTTACAGCTCTTCATCCGTGAGAGCTCCTAAGTGTTTCTCCACGGAGCTGCCCTCAATGAGTTGTTTTTCCCAGTCTATGCTCTGTCTTGGATTGCCCTGACCCAAGTGCAGCACTTCGCACTTGGCCTTGTTGGACCTCATGAGGTTCTTGTGACCTATATTGTGAGTCTCTTGGCTGTCCTCAAAGGGAGAAAACCCAGGTTTTTTATAAGATACGGTTGTTGAGAGTGATGATAAAATATGCAGCTTGGAGTGTTGTGTTACCAAAAACTTACTAGTTCCTTGCCAAAACTTGTGCAGGTGTTGAAGCCAGTCAGCTGTTCTCAGTAGGTTGTGAATAGTTGCTCTTTATTAATTCAATTTCGTCACAAAATTTGAGACAAAATGTGGATGATAACTCTGGAGTTAGCAAGGGAAGGCTTAGCAAAATGTTTATGTAACACCACAGGGTAGAGATGAATAGAAACTACTAGTGGATGATAGAAAGACAGCCATGGGTCATCTCAGCTATTCCCTTCTTTCCACTTCACTGTAGAAGCAAACCTTGAAAAGATGCTAAAGCATTAGCCTGACTTTGGAATTGGTAGATTTGCCTTTAAAACTATACTGGGATTTTTATTCCCCAATTTAAAAGAACCCCAGAATTGCTGTTAATTTTTAAAGGCATAAAAACTGAATGGGCTGTGTTTGACATATTGAGAATTTTTGGTTTTGCAAACTTTAGGTATGGTGGAGAAGCACAAATGAGATTTCCATCAGCTCTGCCTCCTCCCAGCAACGTTGGACCTATTTTGGGTTCTCCTGTTTCTGCAGGTGTGTAGCAAGCATTTCATGGTTTTGGACAGCTTTTTTTTCTTGAGTACGTTGTGTTTTGTCTTCTCACAAGTACTTGTGTTCTTTTTGTCTGAAATAGACTGTGTTTTTCACTTAGTAGCTAGTTAATGACAAGAGCTTTTTCCATTTCTCTTTAGTGATTGTTGGATTTAGTGGGGGTTGTTATCTCAGATTGTGTCCATATTGCATGTACTCTGTTAAGACACTGTGAAGAGGGTATACATTTGTGACTTCCAGAGTCATTTCAGCAGCTGGAGAACAACTTATCAATAATAAATTTCAGACTTCATGAGGTTTAGTTGGTTGCTGCGTAGTTATAACAGTATCTTCCTACATAGTCATTGTCATGTCTCTATAGATACTGCTTATGAGAAGGAAGAAGGAATTTGATCAAGAAATGAACTAGTCATTTGGAGTGATTTCTCCCTTTGAAAGCTTTGTCTTCAGCATCTGGTTTCTGCTTCAGTCTTCAGTGCCACTTAAAAAGGAGAAAAGTGCTTATTTTTTCTCCTCTCAGAACTTGATGCTTCCTGGGATCAAGGCCTTTTTGTACTTTGGGATTCACTTACATTTCTATAGTTGCTGTCCCTTAGTATGCATTACTTAATTCCAGATTGGAAGGGTTTTTAAAAAAGAAATTCATTATGAAGAGTTTGAAATTCTGACTGAAATACTGAATTAAATTAATTAATGTTTTTTATCAAGAACTCATTAATGTATAAGATCCTTTTCCTTCAACTTACATGTAGCATTCAGTTTTACACAATAGACTTGGGTAACAGACTTTTTTGCCTGGAATTCCAAGAATTCCATTTCATTGGCATATTTTGACATCTTCCCAAATGTTGCTAAAGGACATCAAATGATTCATATGAACACGTCTCAGTGGTATGACAGGAAAAGAAGTAACTTTATTTTCTGACTCCAGTGTTTATAGATTCTTGACAATGACCAGGGGTTGGATAATTAAGTTACCACCTTCCCAATTACACTGGTCGTGTGAAATACCCATCAAAGATGTTTCTCAGAAGTAATGTGTAAACATTTATGTTTACAGTTACTTTCCTGGGAAAGTAACTAAAACTATGAAAACAAGATCAGAAAGCTTAGTTTTCAGGGTGACACCCAAATACCTAAATATTGGAGAAAAATGTGGTGAACTAAGATGAAATTTAGGAAAAACAGTTGACCCTGTTTTTCAGAATTCTTAACTACCATTAAAACTCTTAAGATGAGTGGCTACTTTAATGAATCAGTGGCATCACTTTCCAACCCTTTTGGTGTGGAACAGTAACAGTGTGGGCAAGAGCTAAGGCAAGGCATAAGAATGTAATATGAAATCTGAATTAGAGATTCAGCTATGGGAAGAACAGATGCTAGGAGCAGACTAAGAATGAAATTAGGCTGTGGGGGTAATGGCAAGGAAGCTCTATAGTCAACAAGGAGACTCATTTTAGGAATAAGTGTATTTTTCCCAAGTCTAAATGTTTGCATATTTTTGTCGTTCTGTCATAAATGACTCTTTCAAACCTAGTATCAAATCAGATCTTTCCATTTTGCTTCAGTAACAGGTCCAGGTGGAAGATGGCACCATTCTTCTCCTGCTACTTTCTCAGTTTGCTCAAAGGGTAGAAAACTGTCATGTGAAATTAAGGTTCTGATATTGTGGATGTCCCATGTGGTGGGTCAGACACTGCTGACAGAAATTCATTCAACCACCTCATAATTTTGCATGTGAAACTACATAACAGTAATGTTACCATTGAAAGGCCAGGCACTTTTAACTTTGTTCCGTCTTTTTCCCACTGTTCAAAGTCTAGTCATGCATTTGCATGCTGCTGTTCTGTGAGTTTGTGCTTTGCTTTAGCGCACATGACAGTGTGTCCTCTGAGAATGCATTGGTACTGTGTTATCCTCTGTGCTGTTGTGTGCTGTCAAGTTGAGAGAACTGAAACAAACTAGGCAAAAACTGTATCCTTTGGTAAAAGTCAGACTTTCAGAGTGCCAGTTTTTCTTACCTTTTCTGGATACATCACCTTGCTTGCTAAGGGTATGTGGTCTTTTTTGTTGATGACCACACATGTTCCTGGTATTTTGAGGTCTTAAGTTAGTGATTTAGATTTAATTTGCAGGATGACATGGAATATTAATGGCTGAACTTGAGGCTGTGGACAGTCTCAGTGTTTTGAGTTAGCAGTATTGCTGTAGAGTTTGTACATCTGCCCCACGTAAAAGTGCATTATTACCAGTGTTCAGTATTCAGGAGGTGAGGAACAGCAAAAAGTGTGAGCAGTATAATATCCAATGCAGACAACAGATGGTGTGCAATACGTTAACACATGAATGCTGGGGAAAAAAAGCTGCTTCAACTGCTTTTGAAGGAAGTGTATCCGTTTGTTTGACTTGTGGAGTGTTGGTTGATAAGAAAGCAATTTGATACTTAACTATAAATAAACTACAAATAAAACATTTAAAGTATTTAACAATTTTGTTGTTTCTGTACAGATACTTTATGGGTTAGATTTGGGAGGGGGTGGTTTTGGATTGTATTCAACAACTTTACCTTCATTGTTTTTCCCTTCTTAGGTTCCCCTTTGACTGTTGATAGTCCATATTCTAATCCTAGCATTTTGACATCTGTGCAAGGTAACACCTTTTTTTCTCTTTTATTTTTTTTAAATAGGCTTTTTCATTGGCATTCAGATGAGTAATATTTACCTATTTTTACCCTAGGTTTACAACCTCCTGCTATGTCCACTCCCCTCTTTCCTTCTGGAAATTCCATGTCTCACCCTGGCACATCCATTAGTGGAATGATGGGTCCTGAGATAGTATTTTCTGGAAGACACAATGGCATCTGCATATACTTTGCTCGGATTATAGGGTGAGGTCTTTGTAAAAAGAGATTTTGTCACTCAATTTGTTTCACAGTTTTTCTTTGCACTAATGCTGGCAGGTGGTGCATTCTATATTAACAGCATTTAAATTGGAAATTAAAAAAAAATTAATGTGTTTATGAAATACCTACCTATATAACATGTTGTCTTTGCAACTCTTTTAATAATAATACACTCATTGAATGCCTGGGACAGGAAAGTTGCTTAGATACTGAGCCTGCAATCAGGCAATCAGGTGTATAAAAACAACTCTGAAAACTGCAGGTTTATTTTTCAAACCTATGAGTTGTGCGTTTTAAATTCTTAAGGAAGGATTAATCAGAAATGCAGAAGGACTTACAGGATCAAAGTTGTGTCTTTAAGTGATTTCTATGAAGAATCTTTAATCAGAATGCTCAAATCAGAGCAATGAAACAGTACTAAAGATTCTGTTTCCTTGGATGTTGAGCCCTAAACAACCCAAGCAAAAATAGAATTCTGCATGTGTTGGTGATCTCTCTGCATGCTGACTGGGAAAGAAAGTTTTGTTATGAGACTTGTTTGTTTACACTGAGCTTCCAGGGAATCATATTAATCTATTTAATTAATTTATTTAGTTTATTAACATTTAATTTAAATTTTAAAATCTGTAATTTTGTTAATTATTTATATCTGTACTACTCATAATTATATAATGGCTAGTTTTTTTAATATTTCGTTTTCATCCAAAATTAATCTTTATTTTAGACTTTTAACTTCAAAGATTTACCATTTATTTTTTAAGAAATTATACGTAGAAGACTTGCAAAAATACTTGGTTAAATGACTTGGCTTTTAACACAAACTGTTTTGTTTTGCAGAAATATTTGGGATGGCAGTATAGTTGTGGAGAGAGTTTTCAAAAGTGGCAATCGAGAAGTTGTTGCAGTATGTAAAAAATTACTCTGTGTTCTTAAAAGTTTCTTTTAAGTCCTTTTAAACTTCTGAAGTCCTTTAAAACTTCCATTCCCAGTGAGAAACTGTTAGGTTTGTCATGTTATTTTTTTTTTTAAGTGCTGAGCTCTTAATTGATAATTAGTTTTCTTTTTAAGCTATTATTATAATTATTACTTTCTAAGAAAATGGCAATTTTGAGTTTTCCCAATGTTTACTGGTGTCACTTCCTTGATAACCCACTTAGGGTTTCTGCATACTCCCTCCAGGCAAACCCTAAAAATAAAATGCTTTAGTGATTTGGGGTAGTGACTACAGTTATGGAAGGACATTAAAAAAATTTGCATCATTTTCCTAACTAACAGCTTGCTGTTTCATTTTTTGTCCATGATTATAATAAAATCTTTTCTGGATGTGGCTGTTAATAGAACAGTGTTCAATCGTTGTTCTAGCTCAGAGTTGGAAGTAGTAAAACATAAATGATTTAGTTATCAAAGGGGCAAAGAAAGTAGCATCTTAAATATTGTGTATCTTCAGAGGACTCCTGCCTGTTCACGTGTGTGCCACCTCAATGAATGCGGTATAATATGTTGTGTTCTAATGATCTGTTACTTATACACAGTTTATTTGTTGTATCCTCTTATTTGTCTTTTCAGTGATATTAGCTTAAAAATTATTTTTTTGGAAAAAGAAGTGTGGAAACCTTGCTTTCTGTAAAGAAGTTTTCTTTCTTTTGCAGATAGAAAGCAGTGTTCCATCCCGTATGCTGGAATGTGTGCTACAAGAACTAAAAGGTTTACAAGAATTCTTGGATAGAAATTCACAGTTTGCTACAGTAGGAGCACTTGGAAACCCAAGGTATTATTAATTGTGGTAAATTTACATGTGGTATTTAATGTCCAGCTTTTGAAAAATTACAGTATGTGTTCTGTTGAGTTGAAGTGTTTGTATGGTCTCCAGCTTCAACATTCAGATGCTAAAAATGTTTGTTAGATTCATCTTTAAGGGATTCGGTATTTGTAATCATATTAGCATTTTTTGGGTTTTTTTAAATTGCAGTTTCAGCACACCAGCGAATCTACAACAGAGGCTCCTGGGTTTTATGCGTCCTGATGGTGGAAGTTCTCAGCAAGTCCAGCAAGAACTCCAAAGGAAATACCATGGTATGTAATTATTTTTGAACAGGAAGTGTCAAGGAATGGTGCATTCAGATGTTGCCTTTCTCACTTTTTTTGTGAAATCCTCTGAATAAAAAGGCTTTTTTTACACACAGATTTTATGTTAAACATCATGCCATTTTTTTGCACACTTCATTTGTCCCCTTTTTTTCCTTCCTAATGTTCTCCATTATGGGTAAGATTGCTTAATCTCCTCACTACAGTACTTATTAGCTGCACTACCATTCATATTTATAAGATAGTATGTATTAATCAGTTATTTTATGAGACAAGGGAGCATGATCTATTAAAAAACTACTCTAGTACAGGTTTCCAAAGGCACAATCATTGAAATGTCTACAAAACTTTGTTTAAAAATACAAGGTCTGTTACACAGCCCATTTGAATTCTTGTCTTACAGTGCAGCTTTTGCCCAGCGCTTGCAGGCAAATTGGGAAGTGTTGATGCTGCACATATGGAATTGAGGCTGTTTGTGGTCCATGTGGGTATAATCCTGGGCTTTTAATAGTGCAAATATAAAATTTTTCTGTAAGACATTATGTAGGATTTGGTAGACACTTCATAATTTTATTTTTCATTTTTATTCTTTGCTGAGTTCATAAATCCTTTTGGATTGCTGAATGACACAATGTAATTATTGTTAACTTCATTTGAGAAGCGTAAACACTCAAAAGTACGAACATAAACCGTTGCAATTATGTTCTGCCTGTGTTTCAAGTATGAAAACATTATCCTTTCAGTTTGTATAATACATTTTACCAGATTGAAATGTTGAAGTTTTTTAAGTAGTTGTTGCTTCAAAGATAGTGTAGACAGTATTGACCGCGGCTGTAATTGTAATTGTTTACTCTGCAAGTAAATAGAGGTAATCAAACCAAAAGAGAATAGGTATGGGTTTATTTTGATTCCTTTTTTATGTTCATCAAAAATACATTTATAATAGCTGTTTTTGTGAGAAAAAAAGGTAAAAATTTAAGACTGATATGTAAATCTAGTGCATTCACAGGAAACCATACTTGTTTTTCAGAGACTACAATTCCTTTGTTGCTTAATTTGAAATAAATGTTAACAGAGGGTTGGTTTGTTTTGGGGCAATTTTAGCGCATGGCATTTTTCTCCTGAGAGATCTAGACAGCATTAATCAACAGTGGAAGAGAAAAAAAGTTTTAAAAGTTGAGGAGATGATTACTGAAAAACCTCAAAAACTTACATGCTTATTTGAAATATGTGAAAGAATTACTTGCTGATAATCTGTGGTTTTTCAGCTGAGGCACAGCTAACTGAGAAGACCTCGCTTCAAGGAATCCAGCAGCTTGTTCGCAAAACCTGCCAGGCACTGGCTTTATGGAAGTTGCTATGTGAGCACCAATTCAGTGTTGCTGTAGGTGAGCTTCAGAAGGTAAGGTCTGGATAAAACAAATTTTAATTTGTTAGTACTAATCACCTTCATTTCTTTTGCTACCGAAGTATTCCCAAAGGAATGTAGTTTAAAATAATTGAGAAACATATGAATGTGAACATTGATAGGAACATATGAATTAAACCACATGTAAGTTTTTGTATATGTGGTCACAAATGTTTAAGAGATTGACATGTAGTATTGACATAATCACTCAATTCTATGCAATTGGAAGTGTCACTAACAATAAATTGTTCTACTTTTATTGTTAGTTAATACTGAGTCTCGTTTTATAAATTACTGGTTTTTCACCATAAGTTCATTCTGCAAAATGTATTGAATAGACCAGTATTTTCCAACTAAGTGGAATTAACTCTTTGCCTTAGTCTTGGTGAAAGATTGAGAACAATAGGGTGATAACGTCCTTGCTCTTCTCTGTAAGTAGAAATATACCACAAAACAGCTGAGGTTGGAAGGAACCACTGGAGATCATCTGCCCCTTGTGCCTTGGGGGAATAATCTAATCGGTTTTCAAAGCAGGGGCAGCTAGAGGAGATTGCCCAGTACTGTCAGGATTGCCTTGTCCAGTAAGGATTTTAATATCTATAAAGATGAAAATTGCACAGTGTCTCTAAACAACCTGTTCCAGTGTTGAACCACCTCTAGAGCAAGAAAGATTTCTATTCAGATGTGATTTCCTTCGCTTCAGTTTTTACCATTGTGCTGTGTCCTGTTACTGGTTACTACTGAGAAAAAACTGACTGTGCATTCTCTACACTTTGCAAAAATATTAGTAAGATCCCACATACTGCCCTCTAAGCCTCCAGGCTAAATGATCTCAGTTCTTTCAGGCTTTTGGTTTGTGAAGAAGCAAACTTGTAGAAACAAATGGGTGCTACTGCTGTGCACTCTTTGCTAATGTCAAATTGGCAGCCAACCCTTGAAAAAAACTATTAATTTGAATACTAGGTATTTTGTCCTAAAACTTGATAGGATTATTTGAGAAGTTGTATTTTTTGTTTACAAAAAGAATAATTTTAAAACCTTACACAGGCACTGTTGCTCTTCATACTGTTGCATTAGGGAGCTTTGGGCAACTTTTATTAGTGTTGGACAAAGAGCTAACTAATGGTTTAAAAAGTAAAATGTTTTCCTTTGTCTTCAGTAGATCCAGAGTTTTTGCAGTCATATTATCATGCTATTAGTGTCATCTAGAGACACTACATAGACACTACTGGCAGCTATGTGCAAAAATATTTGTAATAAATTTTTAAAAATTAGAAATCCTTAATGTAATTTAATTTTAAAACACATAAAGAGTTCAGACTTCAAACTTTCCAAATTTCTGCTTTTATTGAATCTGACTTTTTTTTCATCTATGACAGTAATCAGACTGTTCCAATTTTTAAAAACTTTGACAGACTCATAGGGTATGCATTCTGACAGTGCCCTGTGAAGTAAAAGGAAGTGCTAATTTCATTCTTACTGTGAGAGATCTGAAACAGAGGTGACACCTAGTTAAGAAGGCAGAGGAAGTCTGTTAAGAGTTTTCACTGTCCTTAGGCATCCAGGGATCTAGTGCCTTCAGTAGTAGCTCTTGCTACTACTATGCTATACTACTACTACTAATGCTATAAAATGTGTATTTTAAATAATGTATTTCTTTGCTGTACATTGTAGTCATTGGAATTTTTTATGTTTTTAATTATTAGAAACTGTTCATTTTGCTGCTGGAACATTCAGACATTTCTAAACAGGGTCAAGTAAAATATTTGGTAAACTAATAAAATTCTGTCTCATCTTCAGGAGCTTCAAGAACAGCTAAAGATTACTGCATTTAAAGACTTGGTAATTAGAGATAGAGAGTTGACTGGAGCACTCATTGCATCTCTTATAAACTGTTACATAAGAGATAATGCGGCTGTGGATGGAATCATTGCCCATTTGCAGGATATCTGTCCTCTTCTTTATAGCACTGATGATGCTGTGTGCTCAAAGGTAAGTGCACTTCCAGATTTTACAGCACCAAAACACAACTTGAGAACATGTCAAATGAGGTACATTGGGCAGCTTGTAAGTCATTATTATGCTCAAGTACTTTCAGAAACTGAAGAAATAATGAAGTTGTGGGCATATTTTTGTCTTTTAGTTGATTAATGCTTAACATTACACAAAAAATATTTGAAGCATTTGCAATCATTTGTAACTTTCATAGTCTCCTAACTCTAATTTGATCTCAAATTTTAAGTCTGTCTTCTTTATGTTGATAAAATGTTTTCTTATTCCAGTCTTTTCTCAGCATAATATCTTGATTTTTGTCTATTCTACAATTTACTGGAATCTGTGACAGACAATTGTGTTTAAGAACTTAGGTCTTTGAAGCTTTTCAGATAAATTTGAAACAAGTAACTGGTGAGGAGAGAATAGGAAACCAGTTGGATAAGTCTTCAGCTCTTCTAAGAAAGACTTGTAGTCTTTCTGCTGGAAACTTAGTGACCAGAGAGTGCTTTTGAGAGAGTGGTCTTTCTGCTGTTTCAGCTTTGAAATTTGGAATAATAGCTCATTAACAGTATCCATGATCTGTTCATGATGTGCTTATGTTAATAATTTCAATTTTGCATTTGTTTTTAGGCAAATGAGCTTCTTCAGCGGTCTCGACAAGCTCAAAGCAAAATGGAAAAAGAGAAGATGCTGAGGGAGTCACTGAAAGAGTACCAGAAGATCAGCAATCAAGTAGACCTGGCCAATGTTTGTGCACAGTACAGGCAGGGTAAGAGCCAGTCACTGATCATGCTGAATAATTTCGTGGTATCCTTTCATGCTATCTTTTCTTTTTGTTTTGTACGCTTTCAACTCAGTTTTATAGTTTTTTAATACAAACAACTGGTTAATAGCTCTTAAAATTAAAATGTGCCAGCCTTTTCTTTTTTAAAGCCATGCTAGATTTCACAAACCAGCCAAGAAATCTTATTTCTATATTAAAATAATAATCCTATGCACTTGCTTCATATTGCAGTGTCCATTTGTTTCATATATGTGGTTAAAATATTTTTAGGAAAATTATTAGGTTCTATGTAAGCAGAGGGTTTCAGGTATCTTTTATAAGAAATACGATGTTTGAAAGATGGTTCTGAATCCTAATTAGTGCAGTAGATGCTAATATATCAGTGACATATACATTTAAGTTATATAACAGACAAGAAATGAGCCTCTGTGCAGTATTGTATATTGTGTCGGACATTCTATGTAACTTAGTATCTTAACTTCATACTTGCATGTAAGTGCCACAGGGTAGGAACAGGTGTAGACTTTATATGATATAGACCTGAATGAAGAGTGTAGCATTTTTGTGCTTGCTAAAATGAGAATGTTTGATGTCACTTACCATTTTGTTGTGAATTTAATAAAATAATGAACAGTGATACATGCTTTGATTTTTTCCTAGTGCGGTTCTATGAGGGAGTAGTAGAGCTCTCTCTTACAGCTGCTGAAAAGAAAGATCCCCAAGGTCTTGGCCTTCACTTCTATAAAAATGGAGAACCAGAAGAAGATGTTGTTGGACTCCAGGCTTTTCAAGAAAGGCAAGTTTTCATGATAATTTATGATCATTATATGGGGTACTTAATTTCAAGTGACTGGAAAAGTAGCTCTTTCAGGAAAGGAATGCAGGATAATAATGAACAAGCATTTTATTATAAGGGACACAATATAAATAATTTTTCCCAGCTCCTTGACTGTGATTAATATGGCAGCATTTAAATCTGAAATACTTAAGAAGTTGAATGAGAACAAACTAGATTGTGACAACCAGCTGATAATAATCTGTGACCTTTTTAAATGTTATTAACGGTCTACAAAGGCATACAATAACACACTCAAAAAGACTATTTTATAGACAGTTGCAATAAAATTATGAGGCTTTTCTTTTGCTCTGTTTACAGATTGAACAGCTACAAGTGTATCACTGACACCCTTCAAGAGTTAGTGAATCAAAGTAAAGCTGCTCCTCAGTCTCCCAGTGTACCCAAAAAACCGGGTCCTCCAGTGCTGTCATCTGACCCCAACATGTTAAGCAATGAAGAAGCTGGACACCATGTAAGAAATTCACAAAAAAGTCATGACTGCACTCTAGAGAACAGAGTGATTTGAAGGGGTCTAGAATTTATTATTTTTATAAAATTATGGAGTAGTTTAGTGAAGTGAAGATCAGTCATGAATTTGCCTCAGTATCTACAGCATCCGTAGAAATGATGGCATGTAAATAACATGATCCTAACCGCTTCTTTAGTAGCTGCTCTGGCCTTTTCTTCCCTTAGTTTGAACAAATGCTAAAGCTGGCTCAGCGTTCAACAGATGAACTCTTCAGTATTGCACTTTACAACTGGTTGATACAAGCTGACTTGGCGGACAAGCTGTTACAGGTGAGCTTGTTTATACACAGAGAATTCGGAGAGGTAATAATGATTTAAAAAACAGGGAAGAGCAAGAGTATGTTATCTCTCTGATGTCTGCAGGTTACTGCCCCCTTTTTGGAACCCTACCTGGTGCGGATGACCAAGATTGACCAAAACAAAGTCCGCTATATGGATTTACTCTGGAGATACTTTGAAAAGAACAGAAATTTTAGTAATGCTGCCAGAGTCTTGGCTAAGCTGGCTGACCTACATAGGTATGGATTATGTGTGGTCTGTTGTATATATAGTGAGGTATTTAGGGAAAAACAAACTAAAATCAAAACCTTTCGTGTATTTTAAGAAAAGTAGGTTTTCTAAAAAATAAAAAATAAAACGTGCTGGCTTGAAATCTAGGCAGTTACTGGAAATAAATTATAATGTTTCTTTTTGTATTATACATTACTTTGCAACATATTTCCTGTAATTACAATATATTAAGTGGCCAGTTCTTATTGAAAAGTACAGTAGAACTGAGCTTGCAGCAAAGATGGAGTTACGAGGTTAGATCATATTCTGTATGATTTAGTAAAATCTGGAAATTCCCAAAATCTAGCTGGAATATAACTAACCTGAAATAATATATTAAGTACTCATTTTATTATGAATATTTGTTCTGCAGCACAGAAATCTCTCTTCAGCAGCGTCTTGAATACATTGCACGTGCCATTTTGAGTGCCAAAAGTTCTACTGCCATATCCTCTTTAGCTGCAGATGGTGAATTCCTACATGAACTAGAAGAGAAAATGGAAGTAAGAAAAAGTATTAATCTAAGCTACACTGTAAATGCATTATTTCAGTTTGTCTCATTGGCACATAACAGTTTTATTACCAGTTCTGTATAAATGGATTTCTGTGCTTTCTTCCTCACATGACAAAGTTAGGCATTTGAAAATAGACTTAAAGGTGTAAGGCAGCAACATTTCTACATTTAAATAAATGTATTCTGGGTGTATTCTTAAACTCTGATGAAATTCAGTCTTGAAATACTGTGTTTTTCTCTTCAACAAGGTTGCAAGGATTCAGCTTCAAATACAAGAAACATTACAGCGGCAGTATTCCCACCATTCTTCAGTACAAGATGCAATCTCCCAGCTTGATGCTGAGCTGATGGATATAACCAAGGTGATTGAAATTTTCTTGTGTTGAAGTCCAGTTTATCAAATTTTGGGGAGAAAAACTGTTTTTCAAAGAATGATTCTATGCTGATTAGGACGAGTAATAGGCAGTTTATCAGTCCTGGTCTCAGAATGTCTGTTACCCTGGACTGGCATTTTCTGTACTTCAATAGTCTTTCAGTCTTTAGCATTTTAATTTTTTTCACATGTTCATTACGACGTCTCTAAGATTTCTTACTTCATTGAAAAAGTTGTTGGAAAAGAAAGTTTTCATTTCAAATTCATATAAAACTTAGTATTGTAGCTAAGAAATTAAACTAAATGTAGCAAAAAGAAATTTTGTGATAGACAACAGTTATTTAAGTTGCATCTTTATTAGTCTGGCTATCAGACAAAACAAAGAACAACTGATTTTTAAAATTTAATTTGATCCTACATGAAATGTAAAGCTTGGTAATTTTTCTTTCAGCTGTATGGAGAATTTGCTGACCCTTTTAAGCTCTCGGAGTGTAAGCTTGCAATTATACATTGTGCAGGTCATTCTGATCCTATCTTAGTGCAAACTCTCTGGCAAGAAGTGATTGAAAAAGGTAGGTCTTTACAAGTAGGAGTTCTGATGATCTCTCATCTTTTACCATGAATTAGTAATTCACTATATGTTCCTGCTGATTTTATTTTTTTTTCTTCTTTTTTTTTCCCCTTAGTTCTTGGGCTCAAGTTCACCATTTGTGAACACACCAACGTTGTGCAAACAACATTGGTAGAGACCTAGGGGAAAAACTGTGTGGCAGCGTGTTTGTTGTGGGGTTCTGGAATGTGGTTTTGTTGGCTTGTGGTTTTATAAGTAGATTTGCGTGGAACTTCAAACTTCATGGAAGCAAAAAAAATTTAAAATGTACATGCAAACACACTGGAAAAGGTTTTACTTCCATGTGCTGATTTTTTGCTGACAAGAGTGTAAGATTTTCATGTATCATTTATAAATATAGATGCCTTAGTGTCATTCTGTGGAACTTCTCCTGAAGTTCTCTCTAAGTGTTTTCTTTTCACTTCCAGAGCTGAGCGACAGTGTGTCTCTAAGCCCTGCGGACAGAATGCAAGCGCTTTGTCTGAAGCTGGCATTGCTTGGAAAGATCTATGCTGGCACACCTCGCTACTTTCCTTTAGGCAAGTTGTTAGCCTGCATAGTAAATAAGCATAGATGTTTGATAGATGGGTTTCAGGTTTTTTTTAGTTTAAAACTTTAAAAGTTTTAAACAAAGAAACATTGCACATTTTATAATCTCAAAAGAAATGGGAAATAAATAGTTTAGGCGGCAGCAGCAGTTACTTTTGGATAGCTGTGCAGATACTGTTTTAGAAAGTACTAAGGTTTGTTTGCATCAAAGCACAAAGTACAAAATGTGTATTTATACATTTAAGATTTTAAGCAAGCACATTTATCTGCTGTCTCTTGAAATTCTATATAAACCATCTGCCATCTGAAAGGGTAGATTCTGAAAACAATTTGGGAGATTTCTGGATAGTTTTTAGAATTTCTACTTTTCTGATGCTCATATATTTTAACCATGTGCTATTATATAAAAACTTGGCAAATATATTGTTTAGCAGTAAATCTTCTTTTATAATACTAAAATATAGTGCAACAACATTACATATGAACATTTAGTGCTTACCAATTCACTGTTAATTGTTACAGGCACTTAAACAAGCTTCAGTAGTTATGCTGACCATACTAGCAAATGTAGTGATAGTATGTGTTTTGTGTAGAAACAAAAGTTAGTGACTTTTTCTTAACAGCATAGTTGCATGGCAAAACCATAACAAAGTACTAAGTATGAGTAATTCCTGCCATACACTGCTGATGGTAAATGACTTTTAAATGCATTTGTTTCCTAGACCCCCAGTAACAAGTTGGAATCTAAATATTCCCTTGTTTATGTCCTTCAGATTTTCTAGTGCAGTTTCTAGAGCAACAAGTCTGCACTTTGAACTGGGATGTAGGTTTTGTAACATACACCATGCAAGAAATTGGAGTGCCATTGCTAAGGCTGCTTGAAGTATATGACCAGCTGTTCAAAGCACGGGTAAGGAAAACAGCACAAAATAAAAATTCTGTTTTCAACTATTACCAAAGTCTCTCCTTAGTGGGAAACATGAAATAATATAAGGAAGGATATAACAAAATATACATTCAAATTTTTGCTTTCTTTACTCAAAGGCTTTTTAAAAGCTGCATTTTCTCCCTGTGAGTAAAATCTGTGGATTTTATTCATTTCAGTCCCAGAGCATGATGAGGAAATTTGTTAATTCTTTTAGTTCACGTGGTGCTAGTTCAGGATGAAATAGGATTAAAATTCTTATGTTGCAGAAAGAACAGCCTATATTGGATATATTAATTTTATTTATTTCCTAGTAATAATTAAAATTTGTTGTATTACTATGTCTTGTCTGATCCATTGATACAATAAACAAAGAAATTTGACTTCTGTGGTAATGAAAAATTGAGTTAAATCTATGTATATTCTCTTATGTAATTTAGAATAACATTTAAATGTAGGCTTAAATATAGATTAAAGTAGAATTCACATTTATCTAACTTTTTTGATATAGTAAGGAAGTGCTGCAGCTGGCAATTCCTGTACACGCAACTTGCTTTTTTTTGTTTTGTCTTGTTTCCTTAATATTTGTGTACTTAATATTTTGTGGGTTTGGGTTTTTTTTAGGATCCATATTGGAGTAGAATGAAAAAGCCTTTGCACCTCTTAGAGTGTATTCATGTATTACTATCAGGATATGTACAGGATCCAAGCAGAGTACCTATGAGGTAAAAGGATAGCTATATCCTAATGAATAATGAAACATAAAATATTCTAAAATATTTCACTTCAGCAATTACAAAGCTTTTCTTCTATTCCTTTGCATGAACTTAATATTTTATTCCTAACACTTGTCATTCAAAACCATTTGGTAGAAACTTATGGGATTCTCCCTTATAAACTACTTCCACAAATGTAATTTTCTTCACATCACTGAAGACCCATGAGGAACTGAGGAACTTAAAATTTTTGGCAATATACTTTAAGGACTAGTTCAGACAAATCTGATACAATGTGTGAAAGCAGGGGAAAACAAGAATTGGGCATTTTGTGATTGAAACAGTGAACTGATTCATGTACATATTCTAGAAGCTGTGAGTTACTCCAGAGAGAAGACCAGACTTTGGGATTGGTCTTCTCAATTGTTTATAAGAGGTTGATGATGAATCAGTCTCCAAGACTAAAACACAGCTTAATTCACATCAGGAAGAAATTTAGGTGTAATAATAGGAAAAGTTTCTAGTGAAAAAAGATAGCTATGTACTTGGAAAAGTTGCCAACATATCATCTCTAGCTTTGACAATTTTTGTTTGAATAGACTACACAAACTTCACTCAGAGCTATCTTGTCTTAAAAACAAAAAGCAGAACTAGGAAGTCTTGATGACTCCTCTAAACATAGATGTTTCTGTTTCTTTTGAAAAATATGCACATACGTATTCCCTGTTCACATACAGTTTACTTCTGTCTTTTGTCTATCTTTATTGGTCTTTTATGATTGGCTGATTTAAACACTCTGTTAGAACTTCAGTGAATGTTGTCCAATTTTAATACCTACTTAGATAATACATAAATTGAGATTTGATTATAATTTAAGACATTTAAACTGCTAGCTAAATTAATAACTAATACATTTACCAGAATAATATCTAAAGTAGTATCTAAATATTTCACATTGCTATAAACTGTACCATGCTTTCATAGTTTATATTTAATATCAGATAAATAGTAATGGGTCATTTATTTTCCCATGATGCCTTAGTCACAGGCATTAGGTTTCAAAACTACATTTCTCTTAATGAATAGTTAAATATTTAAAAGTAGCTGACAGGTGTCTTACTGATAATGCTGTTCCATTGCAACTTAAAGAATGTCCATCTTCTAGTTCAGATGAATTCTAAGATATGGGATTAAAAAGGAGCTTATTGTTATTCTGTGTTCTCTTTGCAGGCGGCGATTCACAAATGTTTGCTTGGATGCTGTTAGTTGCTACCTGGTTGAACTTCAGTCTATGAGCCCCACACTAATGGTGCAGACTACTATTGGGAATTTTAAATCTCTACAGGCCAAGTTAGAACGGCTTCACTGATTGGCTAATACAAGAACAGAATCATTACTGCAGGTAATACAAACTGAAATAAAGGTTCAGATGTTGGCACTGAATTGTGAACGAACAAATCCTCAGAAAAAAAATCCTGAGAGAGTTTTCTCCTGCCATGGTTATCAAATGTGTGGCCTGTATTCATGCTATTCTAAAAGTATCTACAAATTGTAGAATGTAAATGTGACAAATGGAATTTCTTTCACTTTTACTGCTACTACTAGGTTTTTTTAACAATAGAAAGCTTTTTTTTATACTGTTGAAATAAAATACATTGTGTGATCTTTGCCTTGGGGATATAAAGACTATTTCAAAAATATTTTCTTTTTTCTTTGTTTTAAATAATGGGGGAAAGCAAATTATTTCCCCTGTTCAATATGTTATATCTGTTAAAATAAAATAAAATAAAATAAAATAAAATAAAGATGTCAAAAAGTCTTTTTATTATATGCACACAAACACTAAATTATATACACACCTAGAATCCCCTCCCTCCCCTGCTGCCCACGGGGCTCTGGATGCAGCCCAGGACACGTTTGGCTCTCTGGGCTGTGAGTGCCATGGCCAGGGCATGTCCAGCCTCTCACCCACCAGCACCCCCAGGTCCTTCTGGGCAGGGCTGCTCTGGGTCTGTTCATGCCCAGCCTGTGCTGGTACCGGGGGCTGCTCTCACCCAGGTGCAGCACCAGCACTTGGCCTTGTTCAACCTCATGCTGTTCCCATGGGCTCACTCCTCATCTGCAGACTTGCTGATGGTGCATTCAATTCCTTTGTCATTAAGATACTAAATAACAGGTACCTGGGATCCCTGAAGGACACCATGTCACTAATGTCTGTCAGTTGACCACTGTCTCCTGGATGTGACCATCAAGCCAATTCCTTACTCACTGAACAGATCATGCATCAAACACACACGTGTCTCTTGAATTTAGAGAGAAGGATGTGCAGGGACCATCTGAAAGGCTTTGCAGAAGTCCAGACAAATGCCAGCTGTAGCCCTTCATTTATCCACTGTTGGAGTCATACCGGGTTGATCAGGCATGATTTACCCTTGGTGAAGCTGTGCAGGTTGTTCCCAAATAATTTCTCTCTCCCCCAGCTGCCTGAGCAGAGTTTCTCGGAGAACCTGTTCCATGATCTTCCCAGGCAAGAGGGGAGGCTGACAGGTCAGTAGCTCCCACGGTTTTCTTTATTCTCTTTCTAAAGATTTGATACATTTTCTTCAGTTACCTGAGATTACACTTGACTGCCATGACTTTTCAGTTATGGAGAGTGGCTTGGGAACTACATCAGATAATGCCCACAGGACTCTTAAGATGCATGTCACCATGTCCTGTAGATTTACATAAATTCAGGTTCCTTAGGTCATCGTGATCCTGATCTTCCCTTGCAGCAGGTAGCACTTTGCTCCCCCAGTCTCCATCCTGCTGTCCATCAACTCAAGAGGTGTAGGAAGAGAGGTTTCCATTGAAGACAGGCAAAAATGTTGAGTATCAGCCTTCTTCTGTTAAGTTTTTGTAATCAGGGAGATTACACCTTCTCCGACCTTCATTTTCTAGTTCACATACCTGTAGAAGGCCTTCCTGTTATTCCATATGTCCCTTGCCAGGTTCAGTTCCAGCTTCTTGGCCTTCCTCACCTTACCCCGACATAACCAGTCTTTATACTCTATTCCCTATACTCTTCCCAGGTTTCCTATCTTAGTTTTCATTATCTTGCATTTCTTTCCCTTTAATCTGACCAGCAGTTCCCTAATCTGCCATGCTGGTCCCTTGTCTCCCTTGCCCAGTTTCTTGTTCCTGGGGATTGCTAGGTTTTGTACTCTACAGAAGACAAAAAAATCCATTAGAAGAGAGTTTTCAGCCTCTAGGTTATGGGCCCATCATGGTTCTACTGCTCCACTCTGCTCCTCCCAGTGCCTCTCAAGGACATGAGACCACCATCAAAACATCTTTGTTCAAACAAGGGGAATGAAAAGTGTTGGAGAATGAGGACATCAATCCTGCTTCTCACATGCTGGGTGCTCTACAGCACATTTACTATGAAATATTGTTGTAGCGTGTTTATTTTATTCCATTGAGAATTAAAATGCTTGTATGTTCATGTTTATTTTTATTGTACTCTGTTGGTTTTGCCCTATGTTGGTATTTTGGTATTTAACAAAAAAAGTGAAAAAACACGGAAGTGAAGGCTTTGAGAGAGAGGCTGATGGGTTTTTTTTCTCTGCTTGAGACCTGGCCAATAGCTGGCCATTTCTGAGAATTGACAGTGTTGTTCACCATAGAGAAGTGAGATCAACCCTGTGAATACCACCTTTTAAACCTAAGCCCGGGAGTTTCTGTCTCTCTGTTCCTGGCTGTGGAAGGTACCAGAGCTCTGGCCCTGCTCCCCCCACGGCCTAGTCCAGCCTGGGGCGAGGGGGCTGAGTGGCTCCTGGGCAGGGGGATGGAGACTGTGAAGTGGCAGGAGCCCTTTCCCAGAAGGGCTGAGCCCCCTCGGGGAGCTCACTGAGCCCTGTACAGCAGCTCTGCCAGGCCAGACCGATTCCTGGCTCAGCTGAATTTCTGCTGCTGCTGGGTTTCACCAGCGACTGCCGAGTAAGGGGAGGGAAGCCATTGGCTCGCAGCGTGCTGCCTCTGAGTGCTGGCCTGGCTGCTGAGATGCTGGCCACACTCCCCCAGCACAGCCAGCAAAAAATCTTCCATTGCAAACAGCCCCAGCCGCTGCCCTGGCACAGATCACAGAGCATCCACAAAAGCTGGGCAAGAGTTTAACCCTTTCACTACCCAGATGAGACTTGCAGATTAATCCTTTCTCCAGAAAGAATAAAGCGAAAGTGATCAACATGTAGAGAGACAACATAAACCATCAAAGTTAGTGAAGGAAGGAATTAAGCTTCAAATGGAAAGAGAATGAGGAGATGCTTTAATAAGCTGAAATATTATTTTGTTAAGGCTATGGAGATGAACAATCATGTTCTGAAAAACTCCTTTAATTCATGAAAGATTATTTTTGGGAGGAATGAAGTATTTCAAAGCGTAGATCTGAGCAGATCGTGGAGTACTGTCTTGGTTCTAGAAGACAGGTGTCCTCTAGGGAGAGCAGGAGCGTCCCTTGGGATGAAAGAATGTAGACCCCCTCCCTCCGAATTTTTGTAAATTTGAAATCAGGGGGGCTTTCAGGCAGAGATCTGGGGATAGGAATAACAGTTCTTTACTAGTATAACCAGGCAAACAAACAAACAATAACTACAGCAATAACAAGAAAACAGAACCAGGGACCCCGTGACAGCTTTCTCGGCTGAGATGGGATGGAGGAGAGGCTTTGTTTTCACAAACCCCTCGGGCAGTCCCGGTGCTCCTGCGGGGCTCTGAGGAACAGTCGGCTGGAACAGCAGGGATGAGCTGAGATCCTGGACTGGTGGATGAGGTGGATCAGCAGCTCTGTGGCGGTGCCTGGCAGTGCCACACGTCCCGGCAGGACAGGGAGTGCAAGGCCACCAACAAAGAGGGGAGAAGGAGAAGAAGCAGCCGCTCCGTCTGGGTGATGGCAAAATTCCCTTCTCTCCACCGCAGCAGCTCCGCGACCCAGCACACCAACGTCCTTCCCCGAAAAACCAAAGAAGAACCAGCCCAAAAACTGTCCCCACCCTCCTTTTCTGTCCCCTTCCCCGCCCTGGGCCCGGCCACTCATTGTCCGTTGTGAGCACCCCTAAGCACCGGTAGTTAGGTTGTCCCAGCACATAATGGGTAAAAATTCCCCGGGCAGGCCAGAAGGACAAAACAAAAAAAAAAAGACACCTAACTCTCAACAAGTACTTGTGATTTCATCAGATGCTGGAACACAGAAAGAGATGTGAGAGTTGATGGGGACACTTGCCCCTGAAGAAAAAAGAAAAATTCTGTCGCCAGAGATGATCACAGTGACAGATGAAGAGAACCTTTGCCTTTGAATAACTCATCCTTAAAATGACACCCCTTGAGTTCATGGCCCATGAACACACCCCAGAGTGATGTGAAATGGGAGGAGGGCCTGATGGCAGAGTTTTCGGGGTGGTTGGCATCAGGGGAATGAAAATCCATGAGAAAACTGTTTTCTTGTGAAGAACTCTCCATGGAATGACAAAAAACAACTCCTCCTTTACAAAGACTGATGAAATGACTATTGTATAGTTGGCACTGTTTTAACCACCAGGATTTGTCTCTGTTGTCTGACAAGGGAATGGTTGGATGGTGGGGAAGAAGGGTTTCTGGGGCTTTTATTCTGGTTTCTTATTCTTCTATTCTTCTAATTTTGTCGTTAAACTTTCTTTATTCCTTTTAAGTTTTAAACCTGTTTTGCCCTTCTCCTAATCCATATCTCACAGCAAGAAATAAGTAAGTTTTCTGGTGATTTTTTAGCTAGTGCTTTAAAGCCACCGTATTTTTTGGGGCGTTGGCTGGCAAATTAAATTGGCAAATGTAAACGACTACATGCCCCAAAGTTGTATCCTCCCCTATGCTGCCCATCATGTAAACCAAACCCTTGTTCCAGTGCCTTCCCTATCCATCATTGGAAACTTTCACCCTTTTTCTGGACCCTTCCCTGTCAATCCCCAGTTGGGCCAATCCATGATCGTACCACCCCTTTGGAAATCTCCTAATTCTCAAGGCCCCCATTGGCCCATGTGACCTGTCCTTTCCTCCCCTTTTTCCTATTGGTTCCTGAATTGTAATCCCCTCCTCTCGCTCCTCCCCTTGGTTTCCTTATTGGTTGATTGTTTATAAAATCAGGTTGGGTACCCCACTGAAACCTCCTGGTCTAAAAACCCATGCACAGGGGTGCTTGGGGCTCTTTGATTCCTGAACCCTTCCAGTGTGGAACCTTTCCCCCCTCTGCCATTAAAAAAATCCTCACTGCAAACTTTATATTAAGAGCTTTCCTCTTCCCTTCTACCTCTGCTTGGGCACAGAGTGTGGCGGCGTGCCTCAGGGCAGACAAAGAGTTACATTGTCCCCCCTCAAACCCCTTGTGAAGGACAGCCCAGGGGTTCTGATTGGGTTTGAGTCCCTGGGGGGTTTCT